TTTAGTATTATTATTATTACTATTATTACTATGTAGAGAGAGAGAGAGAGACTAAAATATAAAGAAATAAAATATAAAGCAATAAATGATACTGTGTTGCATGCATAGAGTTTAACAAAAAAACTACAATAAAAATAATAAATATGAAAAAATAATAAATATTAACTGTATTGAATGATAATAAATGTTAAATGGTTGTATTGGATATTAGTAATAATCATGTATTAAATGAATTATACCAAATTTATAAAGACTAAAAATATTAATATAAAGAACTAAAAATATGATAATACTCTGTATAATATATTTAGTTTAATAAGAAACTTTAATAAAAATCATCAATATTGAATAATTGTATTTTATACTACTACTACTACTACTACTACTAATAATAATAATAATAATAATAATTATTATTATTATTATCTCTTCATTCTTCCTCCTCCTCCTCTTATTATTATTATTATATCATCCACAAGTTTGCAAACCAGTAAATTACAATTTCCTTTTAGGTCCTAGATCAAAATATTATTTTTAATATATTTTTAAGCAACACATTTCCCATGCACCCCTATGTTCAATATTCACCAACTGAGATTTTACTGAGGAAAAAAAAAAACATATAAAGAAAATCGGAAACACTGTTAGCCAACCACTACTTCTATTTGCCCCTCTATTAGTGGTCTTTGTGCAGACACTCTTGAATTCATGGGATTCTTGACCACAGTGGTGATCTCTTGATTTAAGGTCAAACAGGTAATAAATATACCATAACCCTTGTCAGAGGAGAGGACCTGAGTTATTTTGAGACAAATAAACACCTCCTTCACCCATCCCCCCCTCCACGACCGAACAAAAGATCCTTGAGGCGTGTTGTATCATCCCGAGGGATTCGTGTCTCACACGCTCTCCTCCACGAGCAGAGAGAGTACGCATTCCCGCTGAGAACACGGTGATGGCTGAGGAGAGACTCACACTTTAAAAGTACTAATGGTGTGTTTTTCTATGCCATGTCAGCCACAAAAGTTCTTCATTTATTCAGAGGCCTTTTCGTCTTGCTTTGAATTCCTAATCCAAAATACACAAGAGGATGTGCAGCAAAACCAGTGTTTCAGTAGTGCTTTTTTTCTCCTGGAGTGATTTTGTGAAGAAAAAAAAAAAGGGCTTACCGTGCCCAGGCCACCATCGGCTCAGGAAATCCGTCAGCATCACAGGCCAGCAGGGTTGAGAAGCCCATGTCAGCGGTAGCGTTCGTTTCCGCTTGACGGATTCGTATAGTGGGCAGGACTGAGCAGAAAAGAAAATTGCAGGTTTGATATGTGGAGCCGAATAAAACTTCTATATCTTAACCCTCTTAGCCACATACCACTGTTTATTCTACACTTAAAATAGAACACTTAAATATAATTAATATATTTTTTGAAACAGCTTTTGCCTAAAGGCAACATTGTACCATTATGGAAAGAAATGATGTTTTTCTACAAAATACTAAATCATTTTTTTTTATTTTTATAATATTGCACACATGCATAGCCAAATCAATTTTAATAAAATATAATCTAACATTTAATCAGAAATCAAGTTGTATATACACTTGCTGCCTTCAGGGAACAACCATTGCAGAGCAAGAAATTAGCACTTTACAGAAATTGAAAATGCTAGGATGTGAACCTCCTGGAATACTAATACAAATATATACATAATAAGGGGGGAAAAGAAAGTAAAAAGTATGTAATGTACAACTACCAAATACTTTTGACTCCATTGTGGTACAATGTTGTCTCAAGCCTCAATGTGCACAATTTCGATAATGTGTATAATATAATGTTATTCAAAATACATCTTTCATAAATGTGGCTTTTGATGAAATAGATTATTTGATGACATTCACAAAAAGAATATGGCACTGCAGCAAATCTGATACATGCTGAAAATGAAATCAAATTGGCTGCCGATGAATGATATAACCAATTTTTGTGTAAATATTTGCTCCTCCTCTCTTGATAAGTAGGACCTCACAAATTAAGTGCTGTATTTTGTTGCACCATGGTCGCTCAAGCAGACTAAACAGCAACATAAAGATAACCCGCTAAGGAGTCAAATTAAACTCAAACAAGAAAACAAATAAACAGAAAGGCAAACATAAGAGGTGAAATTACATTACCAAGTTTACCGCAGGAAGGAAAACGACATAGCAAATAAGAAAGAAATCAAAAGGAGATGAGAGAAAAATGTCTGTGGAGCAGCTTGACAACAGCTACTTCAAAAAACGTCTGATCCTCAACACAAAACACCAAGCTTTATACTCGACCTCAACACCAACACAGCTGCTGATCAAATACACAGCTCAATATTGTGATATCTTGTTCTAGCTAAATCAAGAGAGCTTTTCTTAACCAGTTAGCGCTATGCTAAGCTAATGCTATGCTAAGCTGTTAGCTGAAAAGACAAAGAAAGAAATGTATAATTTGACCGATTAAGCTTTGTTAATCCAATTTAATGTGATTAATGTGCTATTTAAAAAGACATTTATTAATTTTCATGAGAATAAAAAGCTAAAGAATGAGAACAATATAGCATTTGTATTAGGGTGACCATACGTGCCATTTTTCCAGGACGCGTCCTGCCCAGGATTTCTATATTGCCTAAAATATCTAGGTTTTGGCTTTGTTTGCGTGTGCAGACCGATCGGTGTATGACATCAAAGTACCATACAGACGGTTATGCTTTTGAAACGCTCTCGAGGTACTTTGATGTCAAACACTGATCGGTCTGAGCCGCACTGCTTTTAAGTCGAACACACCTAATATGTACGCGTAATTGCATCGCTTTGACCGTAGATCCCACCTTCTCACACGCCATGATTGGTCCATTATGTACAATGCTTGCATGTTATTGGTCAAACTACTTTTCGATCATTACCTTCAGCAAGCATGAAAACAGGAAAACAAAGCCAAAACAAATCCTGGCCAGGACGCGTCCTGGGAAAATGGCACGTATGGTCACCCTAATTTGTATAATTTGTCATTTGAGACCAGTTGTCTCAGCCAATGTAATGGCTCTGGAGTCAAAGTGGGATCGGATTCTGCTGGGATCTTTTGAAATGCCCAAATCCAGAGCACTACAGGTACGGTAAGGTGAGTAAGACTCACCATTAACAACCACTTTAATGCTGCGGAAGTCAACCTCTCCACGGGCTTTAATGCGGCCCTCACAAGTATAGACCCCATCGTCGGTCTTCCTGATCCCTTGGATTTGGAGATGGTTGTTATTCAAAGTCCTGAAACGGACTGTGAAACAGAACAAAGATGAACAGATGTGTATGAAATTGCGTATTAAAATCGCATGCAAATTTATCCATTTTAACAGTTTGTTCATCTATTATCACAGGGATTAATAAAGTGCCACATTTCTGAGAAAGCAGCATTAGGCTGCACTAATGATCTCATCAATTTATTAATGAACGCGAACAGTGAGGGTTAAGCAAAGTAAATCACACTTCTTATGTAACACATCATTTTTTACATGTAAAGTGTGAAACTTTTGACTTACCATCTTTTTCAAACTGGATCTTTGCACCTTTGTATTTCCAGAGGACGGTGGGTGGAGGTGAACTTATGACGTCACACACTATAATGGCATTGTCCCCTTCAGTGAACTCTTGAGGTGATGGGACATTTGTGAAGGTGATTTTTTCTGGAGGAAAAAGCAGCAGTCCAGCAATAATTTCAATTTATCATGCAATGCTTCAATTTGTATTGCTGTAGTCTACAGCAAGGAACCAACTCATCATCCAAAATAAAGTCTCCTCAGAAGCACCTTTAAAAATGTTTGGAAATATAATTTGCGTTTTTTTATCATCTGAAATAGGCTGTGACTTGTATTTTAAGGTGACTTAAAATATACAGTGCATTTAATGTCAATCAAACAAAACACATTCGGTTTTGTGCTAAATAAGAGAGGTATGGGAGCTCAAGTTTATTTGTATAGTGCATTTTCCACATGCATTTCCATTTAGCTTCAAATAAATTTGTTTAGGCTTGGCGCTTATAATAAATGTTGATTATAATGAATGCCACTATAATTTGTGTTTGTTTTATATTTTTCATTCCTGTTCTGTTCTGAATACCATTAAAATTAAAGGATTTGTTGTCGAATGAGGGGAACTAATACACATGCTTACAGTGTTTGTAAATGTTTAGTTTCATTTACATTTTTTTGTTGTTGTTTACATTACATATACACAACTGATGCAACTTTTATTTCCCCCCCTTTCTCAACAATGTAATTTTGACCCAGTGCAACTTATCGTCAAGTACAATTTATATTCTGGAAAATACAATGAGCAGAAGCATAAGTGAAAATTTAAACTGTTGATGTCCCTAGAGAGATTGAGATGGAGACCTCACAATTGGCACAAGGAATGTTCAGACCCTCTCCAACTAGTGTGCCAAACTTCATAAGTTTTCGCCAAACAATACATAGAAAACGTGAATTTAAATTTGACATCACAACTTTAATTTTGCCATTCTACTGTACATATTCTGCCAGCACAGATGAATCAAACAGCTAATATCTTACGGTATATCTTCAGATTGACGGTGGCTTCTGCCTCCCGATCACCACTGCTGGCAACACATTTGTATGTGCCAGCGTTGTCAACCTTTGCGTTATAGATGGTGAGAGTGGAGGACGTCTCGTCGTTGCGAATCACGCTGATATCCAGTCTGCCAGGCTCTATTTTCTCACCGGTTGGAGCGAACCAGTCGATTTCCTTGGCCCCACCGATAACTACAACCCAAACCAAATGAACATATCAGCATTCATGAGCTGATCTTATGTATTAAAACGTGTCAACATAAATCATTCCGTTAAAAGTTAAGCTTGTGTAAACATCCACAAAGCAGATATGAATCAATCAAAAGCGAATCAGGCCTGACGCGATTTAATTGTTTGCTTGAATTAGTTGGAATTAGGTGTCGCTGGCACAACAGCTGTCAGAAGGCACAACCTAAAACTTCAACCGATTCTCAGGTTACCAGTCTATTACCCAAATCAGTGGACCGTAGGACACAGCACTGGTGAAGACTCGAGTGTTCAGAGCAATTATCAGAGCCGCTGTTCCACGCCTTTGGGTCTTCAAATGAAGCCCAGGAGAGTGGAACCAGAAAAAACGTTTTTCAAAGAGAGATATAGGCACACAAAGGTTTAACGTATTCCTCTTGTAAGCCTTATTCACATGGGACTCGTTTACAGAGTCCTCGTTGATATTTGCTGACATAGAACACCATCAGCGACATTAAAGTTGAATTCACACTAGTGTACCATTTCAGCAAATGAATCATCTAGAAGATTACTGCTTTTTTAGGTTACAAAACATGGAAAACCTGACCTTTTAGGACCAGGAATTAGGTCACTAAAACTGTGTACCAGATTTTTAGAAGGTAACATTGAGAAGATTCTTAAAGAGGGGACACACATTTTTAAATACAGACAATAATCGACCATGTTAGAAACAGGTGGTCACTGAGTGAAAGGGGTTTTCTTCCAAATATGATGATCGCCTTTTCTAAAATATAAAAGACAAATACATATTGCAATAAATAAAGCCCCTATTTCTACTGTGTGAGAAAAGTAGTAAATGTGATATAAAACAATATATTAGCAATATTAAATAATTGGTTTTTATATTGTCATAGCCAAAAGGAATAAAAACTAGAAAATATTTATTTAGTACTAAGTTTGTTTTTCCAACCCACTATCAGTTAGATGCATAAATCTATTAAAGAACATTATTCAAATTCAATTCTTACAATAAACGTTGTTCCAAAGCAGTTTTACAAAGCAAATTGGCTTAAAAACCCCAGTGAACAAAATAAAGGCAGCAGAGGCCAAGAAAGATGCATCCATTCAAAAACAGTTTGTATTTGTGCTCGCTCTCTCTCTCTCTTTCTCTCTCAAACAAGAGTTTTACTGTTTTACTGTATTTTTGATCAAATTCTTCTTATTAAAAACTATTGCTGTAAATATCTGAACAGAATAAAATAATCACAGTAAATCTCATGATCAGAATGAAACCGCAAATGATGTCAAATTCATCAAATTAAACTTTTTTCCCTTCTTTTCTCTGCAGTTTTTCACAAACCTCGAACAACCCCTTCCCTAGAGCCCAGTATGAGAACTCTGACCCCTGCTCTAAACTAGATTTCCTTTCCTGAAGGAAACACGATCGCTCATAATGCAGAAAATGAGCAGTGTTAATGTTTGTGGTTAAATGACAGCAGGAGAAAAAGATTGACAGTAATATGCAATACAGATGGATAAACAGACCCATTACAATTTGGTAGGCAAAGAACCCAATGACATCAATGTCAAACTGATTTTAAATGCCAGATATATTCTCAATTTAAAACCATATCGGAGCCAGATGTAACCTGGTCAGCTGGCACTCTGTTTCTATTTCTATGGCATCACACCAAGAAGCTTCGCCCACACTGGGAACTAACTAGAAAGGAATCCCGCTCCTTGTTTACAAAAACCAAGAATAAATGGCATAAATAAGCCTGAAATGATCTACAAAACAAATCCCCGCAGTAAGCTGCGGTTACCTGCAGAAAAGCACTGTAATGAGGGCCAGAAGGTATCTGGTCATTACGAAAACTTACCTTCACACAAAAAGAATCGAGACTCTCCAACACTGATCTCGCCCTGCGCAGGTGTAATATCGACCTGCAGAGAAACTGAAGAGAGAGAAAAGTATTAGGATTAAAGAACACATCAAACAAACCTGCAATAATAGAGCTAAAGTTAGTCTAAAAATCATACAGTTCGAAAAGTTCCTCAGTTGTGAGTCGTTTCTCCACATGCATAATTCAGCAGCCTCTGAGAGCACTTTTCATTAATTCCACACAAGCGGCACATCTCTCCTCTTTTACAGCCGCACAAGTAACTATGGAAACCCCTCTGACACGGGCTCTTCAGATAAACAATGTCGCATCATTTTGATCCGACTAAACGAGAGGCGACAACAGACAGTGAACCTAACAAGCTCACTGTCAACTCGGCCATTTCACCTCCTTAAGAGTTTTGCAGATTCATTTACTGCCTTATTGCCACCGCATCTGACATCAGCGCATTCAGCATTATGTCACAAATGCAACCCATTATGCCAAGATTCATTTCTGAGAAACTCTCAAATCTCCTCTTAAACTCATTCTAAGCTAGGCCAGAAAGGCTGTTTGGTTTTAAAAACGATACTTCTATCTATTTTGCCCTCAGAAACTCTAAGAACGGAAATAGTAAAACAGATCAATATGTTTCAATTGAGGAAACAACTCAGAGCTTGGACATTAACTGGAGTGTGGCCGTGGCTCATTTCTCATTCATATGTTGGAGCGCAGGGGATGTTTGGGAAATGAGTAAAGACAAAGAGAGCAGACTGAAGACAAAATTGATCCTCTCACAGATGGTGGCCTTTAGTCTTCTAGGTAATTTAATAAATGGACAAAGCCGGACGAGGGTAAACCTCAATTAAATCAGCATATTCAATCAATACTATCGGATGTTTGTTGTTCTTAGTTGAAGGGCCATTTATTTCATGTGTCTTCACACATTTATAATCTTTTTGTATAGATAAAAGAATAACTTTAAATCGGTCAACTTTGGGAGTGACATAAAAAGGCTAGACTTCTGCTGAGGACAGGATTTTAAATTAATTAGCCTCTTATTAGCAAGGCATGCTGGGGGATGCATGGTGACACTGGAGTCGTGTGTGCAATGGCCACAGACCTCTAATCTCTGAAGTCCCTGCTTGAATTCGCTTTGAAGAATTACAAGAACAATGCTGCCTACAGTGAACGCTTTTGTTAAGCTAATGACAGATTTGACTTCTACACTATGACCAGGACTATTTTACTGAAAGAAAATACGAGGAGGAATCAAATTATGCTTGAAAATGTTCTTCTGGGAACATGCTTCAGAATTGAACTCTGAAAACTTTTAGAACTGAAAATTTCATCCCCAGTGGAAAAATACCTTTTATTATAATAAAGCTGCAAAAACAGATTGTTCAGAACTATTTAAATCAGACGAATACATTAACACATGACAAATGCCCACATTTACATGTCACCTAAGACTGATCAGAAACTTGGCCAGTCAGAGTGAGATCATGAGGATAAAAGAAGCTGTTCTTGGCTGTGTAGCACCTACTGCACTGCAAATCATTATGAGGGATCCCAAATTCCCAATTGTTAGAAACTGACAGATCCTGATAGCAAATCAGAATATATTACAACTGCTATAAGCAGCAGCCCATGTGAGCACAAAGATTTCAATTTCGTTTTACATATAAAGGAGGAGTTTCATAGAGGGCTTAAATGAAATTCAGCAAAAAAAAAAAAAAAAGGCTCTGCAAAGTCGAGGTGAAACAGAAGTGACATCTTTTCTTCTGAAATGTGACATTTATCTGAGTGTAACAAATCTTCGAAAAATAAAAAAATGTAGGGCAGGGGCTTGGTTCTATGCATTGGTTGTTGATTTGATTTTGAGACGTGGGCGTTGCAATCAAAAGTGGAGGCAGATTAATGCAAGGTTGCAGGGACTGTTAGATTCTCCAATCATTTGCAGGGACCAAGTAATTGGAGAAGCCCTGTATATATCACCAGAGAGTACGTCTGGAAGGTCCAGATATGACATTGTGATTAAATATTATGAGGTCTTTTTTTCTAAAAATAAAACATGTGCATGAATGACTTGTTCACAGTAAGACCTATAAAATGCATTTATAAATATATATGGTGAATTTTCTTTCCATGTCAATTTTCAAGCTCAGCTGCTATTCAAGAGCTGCTTGAATGTCTGAGTCTGTGGAACATAACTGGTATGAAAGCAATCCATTCTACTTTGTGAAAGTGAACAGCTATTGATGGCGTATAATTTGCCTGTTATATTATAATGCATTCCTCATTGCTGCTGATCTCCGCAGAAATTGGCTGATTGCACTGTATTTTATATATAATCATTTTCTAACTAATTTTTAAATCATCTTGTGATTAAATATTATGAGGTCTTTTTTTCTAAAAATAAAACATGTGCATGAATGAATTGTTCACAGTAAGACCTATAAAATGCATTTATAAATATATATGGTGAAGTGTATGAAATGTGCTATATAAATAAACTTGCCTTGCCTTACAAATCAATTGAACCAAGTTTGAAAACAGCCTCAGTCACAGCAAAATAAATTTCACAGCACACCTCCACCTCATTTCTCAAGTCTGTTTTGTGTTTAAAGTAAAAGTGCACTCAAAATGAAAATGCTGTCTTCATATACTCACCCTCGTGTCATTACGTACAACATTTTTTTCTTATGTAGAACACAAATGTTTTGTGACATTTTGTGAAATTGACCCTTGCTCAGATCTTTTTAACAAATTGTCTAATCCAGTTCAATCAGTCTAAATGATTCATTCATGAATCAATCTTGAGTTCAATTCACTGACTGAATCTGGTCAACAGCTCACTGGAAATGAAGATAATATCAATTATATGAATATCAACTGACATTTTAATCTTTTCATCACACTAATCTATATGGCACGATTTCAGTGAGCAAGTTTATGGTAGTTTTATGAGACTTTTATGGTGCTATTGCGTCACTTTTGAAGCTTGAAATCAGTGCCCATTCATTGTAAAAAGCTACCAGTACACTTTAGAAAAATATCTCCTTTTGTGTTGCACAGAAGAAAGAAACTTACAGGTTTGGAATGACATGAGTGTGAGTAAATGACAGATGTCTTTATCTGAGATATCAATGGAAGTGTGCATGGTGTTTCATGCACTATTTTTCTGTGAGTCGTGAGTAAGTGCTATTGCGATGAGGGAGTTGTGTGTGTGTGTGTGTACCTGTTTTTCTATTCTGGTGGGGACTTAAACCTGAATACACACAGACTCGTGGGGACTCGTGTCACGGTGGGGACCTAAATTGAGGTCCCCACGGGTAAACAAGCTAATAAATCACACAGAAGTTTTGAAGTTTGAGTTTTTTGAAAATCTAAAAATTTTTTTGAAAATCTAAAATCTAAAAAATCTAAAATCTAAAAAAGTTTTTTGAAAATCTAAAAATGCACAAAGTTTCCTGTGAGGGGTAGGTTTAGGGGTAGGGTTGGTGTAGGGCAATAGAAAATATGATCTGTACAATAGAAAAACCATTACGCCTATGGAGAGTCCCCACAAGGATAGCAAACCAGACATGTGTGTGTGTGTGTGTGTGTGTTTGTGACTGCAGCTGGATGTGCCTCTTTGCTCACAGACCCACCCAACCAGACACATATCATCTCACCTCATCTGTTTATCACATCCAAAATGACGCAAATGTAGAACATTTGAACATTGTTGACAGGATTATTATTTTATACACCATCAATTCAAATATTTGAATGAATCATCTTACATTTTAGCATTTGATTTCCTATTTCATTTGAAATCCTCTTTCATATCTGTCGATTTCCTCTGGGAAAACAAATGGCCCTGCAGAACTGTCACACTGAATCTTAAAAGTAAGAGATAAAGAGATTCGCAGGCATTTCTTCCTCAGCGTCTCTGCTGGAGACTGGGAATACCTGAATTTGTGATATTTTCTACAACACAGCTGAACAAAAAAATAAAATAAAAATAAAGTTTCTCCCCCTGCTGTACCGAAATCATACCGAACCGTGACGTTAAAACCGAGGTACGTACCGAACTGTCATATTTGTGTACCGTTACACCCCTAGTATCCACAAAAACATTAAACAGCACAACAATTTTTCAACACTGACAATTAGAAATGTTTCTTGAACACCAAATCAGCATATTAAAATTATTTTTTAAAGGATCATGTGACACTAAAGCCTGAAGTAATGGCTGCTGAAACTTAAGTGTTGTCTTCACAGAAAACACTTTATTTTAATATATTTTAAAATGTAATTTATAAATTACTTTTGAATTGAATCACCTTGGTGAGTGAAAAAAATACCAACACCAACCATTTGAACAGAAAATACAATTAAATAATAAAAAATAGAGAATATTACAGCTTGATTGGAATTGACACGTAATAAAAATATTCTGTTCTAAAAGTGAGTTCACTTGTTCCATTTAAAAAATGACAAACGTAAATGATGAAGGCATGATAAAAAAAATTCCAAGACATTACTGAACTTTCTACGGAGCCCTGCACATGTTGGAATAAGTAAATTGTGCACTAATTTGTTCCCTTGGTTTACTAAAACGTGGGCACGATTTACTAATTCGTTCCCTCAGTTTACTCGTGCACACG